TTAAATTAATGACAAATATAATTCAAGTATCCCACTTTTTGAAGGGCTGTGACGTAAACACCGTCCCATACTTACGTAATGACGAAAAATCGTCTAAAAGGACTTTAAATGTTGTTTACAAAGAAGTGTACATATAATAATATGAAAATTTAACATTCATTTACTTTTCTAATAAAACATAGTATTATGTTTTTTGTTTTAAAATTATATATTGCTTATTGACTGCATCCCGTGCAACGCACGGGTGAAAATCTAGTATTTATTTATTTCCTGTGAATTTGAATGGTTTTAACAATCTTACTAGTTTATTTCAAATCCTAATTTGCGAAACTTATGCATCAGGATTGGTTAAATACATATCTGATATAATTACAATTTTAATCTGATATGAAATATCAATTATTCTATGCTAGCTCTCGAAGAGCTTTACTTTAAAGTTTTTTTTTTTAAAATTCTTGTTTAATGTGCCTTAGTTGCATTTCATTCATTTGATTATGTATGATGAAAATGATGAAATCTTACTCAATTGGTTCACATTTCATTGCCTTTCTAATATTTATTTGGGATATTTTGAAAGTTACTCCTATAACTTTGATATCAATTGGGCATTGAAAAAAAATACACTGGAAAGGTACGCTTTAATTCCATTTATAATTAATGTAGCTATTTCTGGATATAATAGAATGACATATGTGTTTATCATAAACTTGATTGTTGAATATTAATATTGATAAGTTAATGTGACTCATAGTTTCAATGCTTTATAAAACACTCAAGTAAGTGATATAATTAAGGAAAGTGCATGATTAGAAAAAAATGATATAGACTTCAACTATATTTGAAATATAGTTAAATATTGCTATGGATACACAAATAATGCCTAGAAAATCACAATTTAATGCAATTATGTATAATAAGCAGTTCTAGTTAATCTACTTGTGAGGGGGAGAAAACAAACATGAAGTCCCCATATCACCATTAATGCTTATTTATATGCGGGGCCTGAAGCCATTACTTGTGGACGCGTTTTAAAGCCGTGAGGTCTTGAAGTAGCAAAGCGGACAATATGTTATTATATTATATGCCAAGGTAAATTTTAAGAAATTCATTCAAGTGAATACGTACTTCAAGACAAGTGTTTAAGTGTTCTTTAACAAATTTGATTATTTGATTACTTATGTTACTTCAATAGTAGCATCATCTAATCCTTTTAGAATCTATATAGATTTCTAGGTGAGTGATTCATATTATTTCTATGAAAGTAAGAGATCATTAAGTGATTATTTTAGAGATAGATTATCATTGTGCTAAAAGTTGATAATTTAATGCCTGAAGCATATATATACTTGTCATAAAGTCCGATATATATTAATCCTATTTGTAAGATATAATGCCTGAAGCATGTGTATACTTTAGAGAATCTTACAGATTAGAATTTTAATCCTATTTTAAGGGTAATAAGTATTGGAAGCACAAATTATAATTATAAACAAGTTGTGCACATAAACAAAAATGACAAAATCTCAGGAATTGAGTGTAAGATCACAGAAGCTACTCAAACACTGCGAAGTAGTAGTTTGAAAAGTGATATCATACTTATTGGGTGGTAGTTTGAGACTATACCAACGCAGTGAAAATTGTGTTTTCATATTATCTGCTTGTAGCAGAATTCTCCTCATACTGTAGTATATATACTTGAATAATTTAAACATGTGTTGCATTAAGTTTATGATTTTTGAATACATGACCAATTTAAGATCAACTCAGGTTTAAACCAAATGCCATATAAGACATCCAGTATATAAATACTTCTTAGATAAGAAAATGGCAAGACCGTCTATTCTCCCAATATCGTAAAGTGGATCCATGGGAGTTAAGTGAACTTGAAGTTTCACAATGTGGGTCACTAATATTAAACTTGGTCTCAAGATATGCTCTCTTAAAATGTCTACATGTAATGAGTGGTATAAGACCACTTTGCTGGCTTCTATGAAATATAGTGAAGAACATAAAGTAACCCACAAAATATATCTAGCATTATAAGATGGATGTTTGCCTGAGATAAATTGCTAGAAAGTTGCCCAAATATATGAAGAAAAATGTAGTTTATATTAATTCGGCATTTGTTAATTACTAATCCCCAAAAGTTTACCCGTTTAAATGAGTCAAAATGTGCCAATATTGAAGCCTCACTATAGAAATGATGTACTTGGACCCCGGAAGTGGTTCTATATGCACGTAAATCCTTGTTTAAAAACATTATGGCACATTTTCCGACGTTAGGGGGAGATGTAACGGCATAAGCATAAACATATTATGATTGGAATGTCGGAAAAATATCCGAGAAGGATTGAATGATATGAAAAGAGAAACGTGTAAAGTATGATAAACTGCCAAAGTGACTAAAATAAGTGATTGCAAAGTTTGAGCTCAACCAATGCATGAAGCATGGTTAGACGGTCATTATGAGTATATAAAATAAAACCGATTTCTATTACGGTAAGTCACTACAAGAGAATGATATAAGTTAAATGATGTAGTTGATAATTTAAATGATACAGAACATGACTTCCTCTTTTATGGCTCTATAGAGGACTTTGATGAAACAGGAATCATAGTTATTATATTGACGTCAATGATTTATTTTTTCAAGACTATTGATTCATAATCCATAATAATAAAGTCTGGTCAGACGAAATATGATGGACCTGTAGTCCTAAAATTTTGTGAATTATGATCGATGTTTATGGATGAGAAGATATTTTATATTGAGCTTGAAGTCCCATTAATCAAGATATTGTGCACGTGGGGTGACCATACTTGAGATTGAATGATTTTGAGACTACATTCCTGATATAGTTTAAAGTTCTGTAATATGGCAGTTGATGAGAAAATTGGATGTCATTGCTATAATATCAATTGTGTGTCTCTGAAGAACAATGATGAAAAGAAATATGTGCACACAACATGCAACATGAATACGAATTCCTTTATGTCTACAATAATTAGATAAAGTCATTATGTCTTAAGTTATACGTAGTAGTAATTATATTTGGAATTATTCTTGAGAAAGATTATTTTGAAAAAGATTCAGAAATCAAGAGAATAACGTATATTTTTCTTGTAATGTTTTATTTAGTAATGTACATCCAAGAGAGAGTGTTATGTAATTAAGTGGATGCCCATTAAACTTCAAACCCGTATGTATTGGCCCATATGAAATGTAACCCTAACTGTCCTCCCCTTGTATATATAGATGCTATATGTGAATGAAGTGATGACTTTTGCCTTGACTTACAACAGTTTCTTTGTTATAAGAGTAATACATAAAACGAACTACCAACGTCACAATTAACATATCAATGCATGCCATTCCTGAATACAGTCCTGAATACTATGAAATGCTATTCAAACTATAGTATTTATGTTGATTTGAGAAATTTGTTACTGTTTTGTAAAAGTGATTACATCTGACACACTTTGAGATTACCACTTTAAGAAGATAACATCTAAATTTGTTTCAATTAATTATTTATGAACCATTCATCGCACACAAATGAATACTCAGTTTTCAAATATCACTTTGCAGGGCAATAAAGTCAAGGCAATGTGGCATATGGTCACGAAATTTCTATTGTGGATCAATGCCTTAAGTTGCACAAGACCGACTTATCGTATTTCAAATGCGACGGTTTCACATGTACATGCAGTTATGGTCAATTAACAGGAGGAACATAATTCAAGATGTAGCAGACAGATAAGATAAACACACTTCAAAGAAATGAGGTTGTCCCTACACCTTTTCCATCCATCTATGATGCCTTCAAAATGAAAGAACAAATTAAATTAGTAAGTCATATAATTTCCAAGTCAATTATAATGTTATTGTCATTATTTTAATAATATGATACTGTATATTATTTAGTGTCTGTCACAGCACATTATGATTTTTGTATTACATATATTCTTGGTATAATTATCTGTAAACTTACAAGAGAGTTTGTTGTTACTGAAAGAGGGCAAATGACTATCATTATAAATGACTTTGAAGGAAAAATAATTGTAACTAAAGCTTCACTATCAATTATTGGGTATATGATGTTGGTATGTTGAAGTCCTTAACATTTGCATTATCATGAAATACAAATACATGTTATGAAAAAAGTATGTTACTTATTACATTTATTAAATAAAAAGATCCTTTTATTTTCACATAAAAACACTAACATTATATTGAACTAAAACTTCCATAATTTAATTTTTTTATTTGCCCTTTAATGTATTATTAGACAAGTACATAGCTACCATTTCTTTTGTTATAATTACTTGACAGTCTCCCACATATTCATCACTTTTGTAACGTTATTAACTGCATCACTAAAAAAATATTATACTCATTTTTTTTAATTCTTCATTTCTTGATTACTACCTCCGTCCCGGTGGACTTTGCCAACTGCAAAGTAGGTGAGAAATAAGAATAGTAAAAGCTGTGTCGTTGAGATTTGTGCAGAAGAGAGAGAAATGTGCAGAACCAAAAATTAATTGCTTTAATAGGAAAGTGACAAAGTTTTTTGGGACAACCAAAAAGGGAAAATTGGCAAAGTCCAATGGGACGGAGAGAGAATCATTTATTGCAATCACATATAACACTAACTGCATTGGGCACTACTCGCACGTAGTGCAAACGCTGTTAGTTAATGATATAAAAATAATGTTTACGTCTGTCAAAAAAAATGTTTACGGAAGATTAAAGATAAAATAGAAAAAATTCTATTTAAAGAAAAATGGTTGAATCTTTAATTTGGAACATCCCATTAGCTTAAATTAGTGTTTATTAAGAAAGCATAATTGTATGAGTAGAGTATACATAACTTGTAAGTTGTAACTCATAACTATCATTCGTAAATCGTGCTTATTATACTATTTTATTACTTCGTACGAAGTATATTTTAAAATTGGATTTAGATTAGATATAACATATGCCTAATCAACAATAGCACTAAATCAAGGAGAATATGTGATCAAAATCAGAGCTTTAATCAAAACCCATTTCCATTCATTCTACAAATTGAAAAGCTAATTGCTTCGTTACACCATCTGTAACAGTCCTCTTTACTCCGTAGTATAATTGTCTACTTCTTACCTGTATACAAATTTCTCCAAAAAAGCAAAATTAAAGAAGCTAAGCTATATATGGTACTCACCTCTTATCATACACCGGTATTTAATTTCTTTTGTACAATTAATAAAAACGTGCGCTATATCGGTTACAAACTTTTAGTAGTATGATTAATTAACGAACGGTCACCGGCAACCGCCACCGGCCGCCGCAGCAAAGCCCTTAACATCACACCCTTTCATGACTCTCAACCTTGTGCAAGAGTTAAGGAACATCTGCCACGGCACGTCTCCGACGAGCATCCAGTCGCCGTCCCTGTCCTCGTACGTCGGAGCGTAGTCGGCTCCGTCGTACCCTTCTCTCTCGGAGTAAACCCCAATCCTGCATTTAAACATCCTCTCCAACGCCTTCACCAACTCCGTGTAACCGTTACAGATTGTCAAATCTATCTTTCTCAGGTATGCTGCTCCGTCCATACTCACTTTCACGTACTTTCCTGCCCCGCTCCCTTCCACCGCCTCCTCCGATTTCTTCGTCGTCGTCGTCTCCATCACACTTTTCCGATATGATCGTACCGGCGGCCATCCTACGACTTGAGCCCTGATCAAATCATAATATATATAAGCACATATATACAAGCACATATTTCTAGAAGTTTGACATTTAGGATGAAACTTGAGGATAACCATTTATAACTTAAATCCAAACATGATGACTCAAATTAGCACACTGATTTTGAAATTTGTATGTATGTTCATTATTACAGCCTATTGAGACCTAATTATTGTAAGTATATACTCTCTTCCACCCATAAAATTTAGTCATATTGTATTTTTGTGATTCTTGTGAATGATAATAAAGTTTGGAAAAACATTTTTATTTTCATATATCTCACAAATTTATAACTTTTATAGATGAAAGTATCTTTACCAAAGAACATTTTCATATAATTCTTATATCATAATAATCATTGGTCAAACTTGATTGTAATCGAACTAGGAAATACTATCGTATATAATTAGGTTGGTACTTACTTAGGAGCTGGGGCGGACGACATCTCATCGTTCTCCAACGAAGATCTCTTGTTGTTTCTCAGACTGGAAGGAGTTGTTTCCTTCTCCGGTGACTCTGTCCCCGGCAACCCTAACCGCAATTCGGTTGCCTTGAGGTTCGCGGGATCGCTTTCGTAGGTTGTTACCCTTTGATGAATATCCATTAACTTGAGATGAGTTGATTTTCACTAGGTAAATAAATTGGCTGGTCGGATACTCGGAGAGAAGAAAAAATGAAATTCCGATGAGTCTCCGGCGAGTGGATATAGATAATGGTAAGGCAAGAGCTACGTACTTTATATAGTAAACCGATCGATTTGGGTGGGCCGATCACGTTGCGTGCATGACTTTGCAGACAACATATGTCGATGACAACACGCGCTTCGTATGAGCGTTTCACTGCAGGACGAATTAGGGGTGGAGGTGGTAACGACGCGCGGTGAAAGGGTGGGTCATGGGTGGAGAGTCATGTTAGGTTTAGTAGACATGAAATAATGGTGTACAGATGTGGGTGCTGATGATAAAAGAGACAAGTGTGGGGCTTATAGCGAGTTAGCGACCTACCAAAGTTGTGTGGGCCCGAGGTGATAAATGGTGAAATCCGGGTTCCATGAATGTACAGTGTTTTTGTATTTTATAATTATCGAAGTTTGCTATGATCTGTTTAAGTCTGAACTGATTCGATTTGGTTAAATCTGGTCTGATTTAATATGTTTAAATTTTGTCTGTTTTGAGATTAAAAATCATCCAAGTAAAAACATGCTTAGTACATTCCTCCTTAAAACTCTGTCAAATTTAACCAAATTTAAGGGAGGAAGAGAATACAAAATTGGACATGTGAAGTGGGCCGTTGTTGTCGGGTGATGACTTGGATGGGTTAGGCAATACTGAATTTCAAAAGGGATGCACGTCTGTGCTGTCTGATATGTGGGCTCACACAACGACGTCTACCGCCCGTCGATCATAAATTAATTGATCCGTCCCTTCTGGTCCTTTTTGGGTGTCTCCGCCCTAAGACAAAATCTTTGGGTGTGGATTCGTTTGTTAAACATGGTTGAATTTTACTCTTTCCCAACTGTTGCCTTGCTTATTTACTTCTTCATTCTTAATTAATACTACTAGTCCCCTAAGGTTTTGTGGTTTCTAAAAAGAAAATAATATACTACCTTTGTCCCATTTATATGGGGACGGAAGAGGGTGACACGATTATTAAGAAAAGTGGATTTGTGTGGTTGATATTAATTGATAAAGTAAGAATAAAGTAAGAATGATTTAGAACCAACAAATTTTGTCAAATATCAGACAATTTAAGTGGGACTTCCCGAAAAGGTAAAACATGACAATATAAATGGGACGGAGGGAGTAGGTGGTATAGATGGTGTATACTACCTCCATAACGTTGATATCTTCCCATAAGAAAGTAGGTGTGATTAAGAATAATGTAAAGGAATATAAATTATTAAAGGTATGATGAGAAGATTAGGAAATAGTGTGGTGAAATGCAGGGTAAAACCAAAAAAAGTAGTTGTAATAATGTACTAGTACTACCTCCGTCCCCCTAAGTTTGGGACAAAAGAAGGTGGCACGGTTATTAATAAAAGTGGGTTTATGTGGTTGATATTGAATTGATAAAGTAAGAATAAAGTAGGAATGATTTAGAACCACACAAACTTTACCAAATAAGGTATGAGACAATCTTAGTGGGACGGACCAAAATGGTAAAATGGGACAATCATAGCGGGACGGAGGGAGTATTATTTTATTTCATATAAATTATTAGAGGGTATGATGGGAAGATTTCAAAATTGGAATATATGAATGTTATGGATGAAAAATAAAAGTGAGAAGATATAAATGATTCGGAGAAAGTAGTAATTAGTAAATGACAAAGTAGGGAAAAAAAGTAAAATAATAAAAGTAAAGAGGAACAAATAATTAAAAACATCTCAAAAGAGAATACAACACAGTTATTAGAATATGGATGAAATATTACGGAGTATTCCCTCCGTCTCGCATTTAACTTTAGGAGACGGAGGTATCCTTGTCCAACCTAACCATGAAAGCAAATCCTATTTGGGAAATTTGAAACACCCATTCATAATTTTATCCTTATCACACGTTTTACTTTTATTGAGAGAATTACCTCTAAATAATATAATCACTAATTATACCCCAGTTTGCTTTCATTTGTATATTTGACTTATATATATAGGTCTCCACTAGAGTCTAGAGGTAGGCATGCACGTAGTATAGTACTAGGCTACTAGCGAGTAGCGGCTTGTTAGACCATTTGTAGTGGTTATAGATTAGGAGTCAAAAGATTAAAAATGGAATTTTTAGACTCTTAATTTGGTATAGTGGTAGATTAAAAGGGGGAGTAAAAGTGGGAAGGGGAGTGGAAGAGTGTATAAATAGAGGGTTAGGTTGACAGGATAAAAGAAAAGGAAAAAGAAAAAAGAAAAGAAAAAACGCGCTCTTCTGCAGTGTTCATGCGTTCTGCTGACATCATGATGATGTCATGCAGATGTCATTAAAATCCCAATTAATTTTAAACTCTTATAACTTTTTTATTTGTTCTCCGAATTTTTCAAAAATTATACCAAAATTCATGATTTTTTATGATCTTTCATATGACACCAATATGTAATATATAAAATGCCAAAAAAAAAACTGTTGAAGTTTTCTTGAACCCAAAAAACACGAAATGCAAATTTTTAATTCATTGAGCCTTCACAAATACTAGCTGGATATTCCATAATCCAATTTTATTTGAACTATCTTCATTTTTTGTTAACAAAAAATCATATAAAAAATTAGTGAAATTTATTTTTTTTACTTCGAAATGTGTATTTTTTATTTCATAATTATCCAGGCAAAAAGTTAAAAGAAAAATATTGCTTATAATAATTTAATTAATGTTTTACTAAATCGATATGTAAAAAATATGCAGAGTGTATTATATTGACGGTGCACGGATGCAGGGAAAAACAGTATTGACAGAGTCTAAACACTGTTTTCATATGGACGGAGTCCAAATTTAACAATTTGGACTCTTGACCACTACAAATGGTCTTAAGTCTTTGTGGCCTATTTGAAGAAGGTAAATGAGGGAGGAAATACATATAGAGCCCGTTTGGTAGAAGGAAAATCGGCTGGTTTGGCTGATTCTGCTGAAATTTCTGAAGTTCTGGCTGAAGTGGCTACATTGGCTGATTCTGCTGATTTAAGAAAAAAATATTTTTAAAATATATTTTATTAATAAAATAAAGAAAAAATTATATGTAAAAATGGCTAAAATGGTCATCTACAGTAACTTCAGCCAATACAGCCAGAAAAGTAACTCCAACCTTACTTTTTCTGCTTATTACACAATTCAGCACGCTAAAGCAAAAATTACGTGTTTGGTGGAAAAGTTGGCTGATAAGCCTGATAAGCCGAAAAGGGGTGTTACCAAACGGCACCATAGTATACGTTGAAAAAGTTGGCAAACGCAAGATGGTAGGAGTTACACGCCATTTTTTGGTGGGATTTGAAAATAAGGTGCTCTAGAATACGGAGTATATTTTAGTGGATCTGTACGTATCATACTATAATCATGGAGAAAATACCAAATCCATGATATTTGTTACCGGTCTTAAAAGGATGACACTGCACGTACATATTAATTTTTTAAAAATTCTTGTTAGAAATTGATTCAACATTCTTATAATTTCTTTTTTCTCTACTAGTAAACTCACCCGTGCGATGCACGGTCTGAGAAAATATCAAATCCACTTTTAGATTATGATCATTATTAGGGACTTTGGTTAAAGCAGTTCGATTTTGACAGAAAGTAAAATATTGAATTCAAATAATTATGGAGTAGAATATTTCAACAAGCTTTATGTATGTCAGTATGTGATAGATAAGCTATTGCATAAAAATATGTTATTGAATTTCTATTTTATTTGTGATTAAACGATTTGTTACCGGTCTTAAAAGGATGACACTGCACGTACATATTAATTTTTTAAAAATTCTTGTTAGAAATTGATTCAACATTCTTATAATTTCTTTTTTCTCTACTAGTAAACTCACCCGTGCGATGCACGGTCTGAGAATTTTCCTTCAAATTTGTTTGTGTTCACTAATTCAAATTACACTATCAATTGATGAGAGTATCTATCTCCATGGAATATTGATATAACTTGAACCATTAAACAAAACACACTTAAAATATATATTATAGTTAAAAAGAGAGCACTAAGCATTATTTAAAAGATCAAAAACATCCAACAAATACTTAGAAATCATAACATTGTAAATATACATTTCATGTAATCATAAACATTGTTGAACACTTTTTGAATACAACATTCTGAGTCTTGTTCAGTGGTTCCTTCTATTTCTTCAATACCCGTGCGATGCACGATTGGTGAAATTCCGCGGGTATAATTAACATTAGCCAACATTTTAATTAAAAAATAAACAAACTTGTGATTTTAATTGAATTGTTTAGAATTATACTCCATACAATAATAAAACATGACGTAAATGAAACATATAAATTACAATTTACTAATTATTACAGCGTAATACATTATTTTTTATAGCCCGCAAAAGAGTAAGTAACACGCAACATAAACATCATTTGAAAACAAATTACATTCCATGGAAAATTTTATGAAACACTTCTTTGGACCTTCTGTCTAGCATTAACCCTTGTTAAAAGGGAAATTACACTAAATAGGACAAAAAAAGTTTTATGTATTCCAAAATTGGACCTTAAGCATGACAATATTTTTCAAGCTTGACATTAATTACGCCTATTTTGGCAATAAAAAACATGACAATCTTATTTTGGAATTCTCAAACTCATTTACTCATATTAAAAAAAAGGAAAAATTGATAGTAATAATCCCAACTATTGGCGGTCCGCTCATAATAATCCCAACTATTGATTATTACAGAATAATCCCAACTTTAGGGACCTTCCGCCAATAATGGTCCCTATGAATAAATTCTTGTAGTTTCTAAAGTGGATGAGATGAGATATAACAAGTAATCCCTATAAATAATCTTAACTTTTAATTTTTACGCTTAATTTCTATTTAAAATTCACTTTTTATAGAGGTAATATATGGTCATGGGCCATTATTGGCGGATAGTCTATATAGTTGGGATTATACAAAAATAATCAATAGTTGGGATTATTTTCAACGGACCAGCAATAGTTGGGATTATTATTTTCAATTTTTCCTAAAAAAAATCCCTTACTAAAATCCTTCATTCAAGTAAATTTTTGACAAAGATTTTTTTCATTTTCAAAT